GATACTAACAATCGAAACGTCGTGAAATAACTTGGCTTGGAATCTGTTTATTCTTAATTTTTTGTTCAATTGTTCTATTTTTACTTGTATTTCATTTCACTATTATTTTATTTCAGGTTTTTTTGCTTAATATAATTGTTATTTTCAACTATTCATTTTCAACTTCTTCTTTTTTAGTTCTTTCAGGGATTTCAAATCATTTTATATAATATCAGACAATGGAAGTCCGAACTAATGAAATTCATCACAAAATATTGAGACGAAATCGGTTCGACTAATTTTGTATATAGTCATTTCTCAGAGCACAAATACTTCACTTCTATCAGCAACAGAAAATAATGTGGAAGTGGCTGAAAACTATTGCCAACATTTTCCAATACCATTTTTCGGAAACAAAAAGAGCAAACATGTTTTGTCATGATCATTGACTACAGTTACAGGGTGGTCCATTGAAACAGAACAAGAAAAATGTGGGATGATTTCAGAATTGTGTCAAAGCTATTTTACAGATTCATTAGCCGTAGTCTGCATTTTCATACATACAGACAAACATATGTTTCTTGACAGTATTGTCCATAAATTTTATGTAGAGTATTTCTAAATGATTTTGAGCGTCTTTTCTGTTGCTGCAAACTCGTGAACAATTATTAGGTTTTCAAATTCACAACTCAAAAAGAAGTCATAGCAGAAATCTAATAATTGGGTATTATATATATCTGTATAGGTCCTTTGAATTAGATACTATGGAAAGTATTGCATCACAATGGTGATAATCTCAAGATACAGGGCGAAGTGGAAAATTTTTGTTTTTGTTATTTCATTGTAAGTAAAAAAACTTTACCATCACTTCTTCAGCATTCAAAGAATATCCTCTGTAAGCAGCATACTGCCACGGTATGTTTCAATGAACCTGTACAAATTGAATATTGTGCCATTTATTACACATAAAAAATGAGCTGTCAGGCCATTTTCCTTGGTTTTTTATCGCTTTTCTTTTGCTTTTCAATAAAATATCTCATTTTCAATAGTAAACTCCCTGTCAGTGCTATCAATTTTGAGTGCTTTGGGGAAATTTTGCAACAATGTCGCAATTATCAAGTTCAGACCTAGTGTTTTTAGAGTTAAATGTATCAATTACGTTTTGGGGTTAAAGTTTTATTNTGTTGAACTTATTATGTACTGGCCACTTTTTCCGAAAGTCATCTGCGACTATTTCAGTTAATGCAGGATCAGATCTTTTAACTTCAAAACGCCATGGAGGTTGAAAATCCAGCCTCCAGCGCCATTAAAACCTGAACACAACAATGCTGTGGAAGCTCAGTACGTTTCCCCATCAACTTCAACTTCGAGCGCAGCTAATATTTCAATTACTTACCGAAAACATGTTGAACCAAACGACCTACCAGGAATTACTTTAAAAAATTGTTCAAATATAACTGTTAATTACTATTTTGAATAAAATATAAAAATGCGTTAATGACATACAAGTATTATTATATATGTATTTAAATTTTCAATACTTGAAAACAACGCAACAGTAGAAAAAGTACCAGTGTACAATGCGTGAGAAAATGACATATTTGTCACTTCTGCACTCGTGAGAAATATATCGTTTTTCTCACTTGTTGTACAATATACTAAACTACTCAAAATGAATATAGAGACATGTCCTTAAAATGCATTAAGTAAAAAAATGTGTATTATTCTGTCAAACATTTATATTTATAAAATAGTTTATAGGTGCCTCTATTAAATTTAACTTACATTGTTTTCAAAATGCTGTTTGGTAATATGATTAATAAGAAATACAAATGAGTGTCGAAAACAAATAAAATTTATTTCAGAAAAAAATTAAGAAAAATGTACATTAATAGTGAGTACGTCCACCCCTGGCTCTAAGAAGTTCGGCACAACGACGAGGCATGCTTTCCACCAAATTTCTAATTATTTGTTGTGGTAACTGCTCGTAAATCGTCAAAAGAGCATCTGCAACTTGGTTCAGATTTTGGAAGGGTTGATGATCCTTCAAACGTCTTTCCAGTTCATCCCAAAGCTGCTCAATAGGATTTAAATCCGGACTATTAGCGGGCCATCTCATGACATTAATATTGTGCTCCTGTAGGAAATTTCTCACAACCCTGACTACATGTGGTCTGGCATTATCTTGTTGTAAAATGAACCCAGAGCCCATACTTTGGGCAAATGGGACGACATGAGGTTTCAATATCTCCTCTATGTAACGGACAGCCGTTAAAGTCCCTTCCCGAAATACTACAAGGTCCGTGTGTCCTGTCAAAGTTATACCAGCCCATACCATTATCGATCCCCCTCCAAATGGAACAATTTCTTGCACACAGTCATCCAAATAGTGTTCACTGGGACGTCTCCATACCCGAACACGTCCGTCATTGTTGAATAACATGAATTTTTTTTCATCTGTAAACATTACATTGGCCCACTGCTCTAAATTCCAATTACGATGCTCTAGACAAAAGTTTCTACGATTTCCTCGATGAGNTTAATTTATTGAATTCGTTGAGATTTGAATACAGTACGCCTGTGATACTTATATTTATATAGATATATTGCTGTAGTTTCTCTAGAAACTAAATACAGAAATTTTCATATTAATGATTTTGTAGCTGAAAGTACAAAAAGAAGTAAAAAAAATAAACAACAACCGAATGGAACATGATGAAAATTAGTATGGAGTACACACCAGAAGTTTATATTGTGAAATAATACATATTTTTTTACTCATTAGATTTTAAGGATGTGTCGCTATATTCATTTTGACTAGTTTATTATTCCCTAAACAAATAAATAAAGTAATACAGTTGAATTCTCTCCCCCTTAGCTGTGCTCCCGATATTCAAATCCTGTTATACTTACGGGAATGGGTTGTGGATCACTGAGATGAGGTCTCAACTGTTCAAAAATATCTGGTAAAAAATCAGGTACATCATAAGGATGAGCTTCAATGAACGCACAGAGTCCGAGAACACCAGCATGTTTGAGTCGCATGTTATTGTTTGTTGCAATATCCATTTTTTTGGCTTTGTTTCTTGCCTTCTGCTTGAAATTGACCTGAAATGAATAAAAAACTGAAATATATGTACTATTTGTTAAATAATAGAATAGGTTCAATGAATTTTGACAAATAAAAAACGCAAATTTTCCGATTTAGTCTTCTGATGAGATTGGGACTTCTGTTCTAGAAATGTACGGGAATTCTCTACCCAACACAAGATATTTGCCTCAAAGCAAGTTAACTTTTCAAAGATATATTTTCTTACCAGTAACTGACTGGGTTCTGGAATGAACTGGCAGTGAAGTAAGCCACTTAAAACCTTGGCGGCTTGTACACGAACTTCATGTTGGATATCTTCCAATAACTCCAACACAATAGATTGCACCTGAAATTGGTTTGCCAAATCAAACTTAATTATTTGAACAACAAAAAATATATATCGATGCAGTTCGCAGAGAGTCACTCTGTATACCCATCATTTTCTTATCAGATCAAAATTGTGCCTACCTCAAGAACCCAATCTTTCCGAGAATTAATAATAGCCATATTGTAGAACACATAAATAGGCAGAAACTCTGCAATCAGAGCTCTCGCTGACCATGAAGGGCATTTTGCAACTTTTTTTATCACTTCTATAGCCTTTGGAATGTACTTTGGTAATGTGACTGTTTCGGATATTACAACTAATAAGTTAGTTGAAATAGTTGCTAATTCTTCATCTATTTCGTTGTTTTGAAACAATGTTGCAAGGGGTATCAGTTCCAGGAATTCGGGACGAGCTGAATAATTCACCTTTACCATTGTGATCGTCACATATTTGGCAACTGAAAATTTTAAATATAAAAAGTTACAAGAGTCAATGAAATATGAGCAAATCATTATAAATAAAAAACTATGAAGCAAAACATCGTTGGCTTCTACAAAAATAGAAGTCCGAATTGACAAAATATATAATTTAGTCCATATTTGAACTATAAACTTTTAATAACTATAGTCTTAATGTCTGACAACATACAGGGTGTAACATAAGTACGTTAAAATATTCAAGTGACGTATTCCTGAGAAAATTTTAAGAAAAAAAGTCAATTTGAACTTTTGTCCGAAAATGCTTCGTTTCGGAGATACGGGGTATCGTCACTTTGAACAGTTGTTGTAATAGTTGTTTCGTTCAATTTTTATATGTTTATTTTCCTAATAAATAACATGGTACTTCTCCGAATTGTTTTATTTGCAAAGTCCGAAATGTAGCACTTTCTAATTTAATAATTAAACCTGACAATTTTTTTAAATTTGGATTGAATGAGTAGTTCGATAATGCTGTTTAGAAGAAGTCTGTACGGGTATACTGCGTATAGCGTTTGATGAAAATAACTAAAAGTGCAAAAAAACTCATGACAAAAGCTTACCGTGTTTTGAAAATTTTCAACAATCTGTATTTCGAAAACGAATCATTCTTCGTTAAACATTTCATAGGAAAAAGTAGTTTATTTTGACGAGATTCACCACATACTTAGTTTTTGTAATGTTGTCAGCAACTTCACTTAGCGCCCTAGGAGCTAAGTAATATGCATGGATATAGAAAATTGCGTTGTTGAGGAGGTGTACCTTTTTTACTTTGAAAAGGTGGGGGAATTAGGTTTTTTTCATGAAAAGTATCAAAAGTTTACCGTCAAAAAAGTTAGGGCAATTTGAAATAAATAATGACAGCGTACGCAGCGCCCTCCCTCTAGATGTTACATGAAAATTAATACGAAATTGAATTTCGTGCAAATAACTAATTTTTTGCAAGAGTTATTTTCAAAAAGCGAACAAAAAAATTCAATTTCAACACCCCGTATCTCCGAAACGAAGCATTTTCGGACACAAGTTCAATTCCGTTATTTTCATTAAAAATATTTATGCTATTTGTTTTTTTTTCATCTGGCGGCACTTTATTGTTGAAATCATAAAAAAATTATATATTGTGACTGTTAGCTGTGTGAGTTTTCGAATTTTTGAGTTGTCATAACTTTGTTAATAATGAATATTTTTCATGAAATTTTGGTCACACCTATTTAGAGGCACTCTGAATCCAGTGGCGTAGTGATTTTTTCAATAAAAAAATCGCTAATAAAAAATCCCGATTTTCGAATAAGAAAAAATATCGTAGTATGCCCTGAAACTTTAATGAACATTAAAAAAAAAATATTAAAATCGATTTACAACTTCAAATTTTAGGGGGGTGTTTCCATTAAAAATGGGTCACACTGTATATGAAATATTTTTTGTGTAAACGTTCAACTTCATTTTTTCTATTGAAATTCCAAGACAATTTATACCTAAATCTGTACTCACCCGTTTTGAATAACCTAATGAGACAATCCTTCTCGTCGGCACTTGTACTAATCAGAATAGAATCATCTACGTCACCGTTATTATCACTTTTCATCTTAGCTAAAGAAATGTCATATAACCTATCTAGTTTTGGAGAAATGTCTTGGAAAAATCGTTTAGTTCTCATTCCATTTGTCCAATCACCTCCATCTCCAAGCTCTACTTCACAAAGCGCAACTGCCAAACAGGTGCTGATTTTATCCCTAATGTTTTGAAAAGGATGAGACAGATGGGGTTTGAGATATTCCAAGAGTCTATTGTTGATTTCTGTGTTTCGCCAAGATTGCTGACTCATCGACACAGTGATCAAATTCAAACGAGTGCATGATACCAATGACGTAGGATCCTTGAGGGGGTCCTGTAATTCAAACATATCCTTTAGATTTGAATAAAGCATTTGATACTTGTACACCATGAGATATTGATTTTGAAATTACACAATTTCGGAATCAGAGAGAATATCCTGGATTGGTTTGTAAATTATATGTGATACGACAACAATATGTTTGCAAAGAAATATAAGAGAACATATTTTAATATAGCGCAAGGGTCTATTGTTGGTTCCCCCTTATTTAATATACATTAACTAATGAAGTTGAATGATCATCAAACAAGACAGCTCAATCTGTTAACAAAATATCAAATCAAATCAAAATATGCTTTATTACCCAAGATCTGAACGTCTCACTGGCAAAGTTTAGTAAAGTGAAACGTGTATATGGGACATTAAATTAACAAATATAATTTCATAAACTACACCTCATGATTTGATCTCCACATACTTTATTTGAAAAATATATCAAGGCATGTTTCGCTAACACAGTAGCTTTATCAACAGTAATTTCAATACCACAAGTTGCTTCTTATACTAATATTTATATACTACAGGTAACCATAATTGAGACTACCTCCAACAAATTACCTAAACCTCTACCTCTTCAATTATGATCACCTGAAGCATATTACCTCACTTCTACATCAATAATAATTTGTTATAGGTTTTTCTAAGAAAACAAGTTCAATAATGGTGATCTATTCAAATCCAGTTGGTCATTCATTATAATGTTTGAAATTTGAAATTTATTAATTTCCATTGCTTCCAAATGCTTCAAACCATTATTTTCTATGTGTAAAATTTCGAACTGAATGAAAAGATGATTTGAATATGTTGAACTTATTTTCTTATTTACATAGCTCATATGATGTTCCTGGATTCGATTCCTAAATGTTCTGCCAGTTTGACCAATATACACCTTAGGACACGTTCCACACTTTAATTTATATACCCCTGATTTCTCGAATTTGGATGTTTTATCTTTATTATTTTTAACTAACTTTCCCAACGTATACCTTTTTCTATATGAAATTTTAATATCTCGTTTCCTCAAAAATGAAGCCACTTTTTCTGTTGTTTGTCCAAAATTTTGATTAACTAACTCATCAACGGGAAAAACGTCTTGAATCGCTTTTATGTAGACATTTTTGGAAAGTATTTTGTTTATTGATTCGGCTTTAAACCTATTATTTACTACAATTTGCTTGATGATATCAAGTTCTTTATTGAAATTATCTATTGATAGAGGAACACTGACTAATCTGTGAATCATGCTATTATAAGCTGTTATAGTCTATCCATTCCCAATTGGAACGACAATGAAAATAAGAGTACAGTCATAAAGATTTCTTGCCTGTGGCCCTTAGTCGCCCAGATAGTTAGTAAACGTGCTATCAAATGTAGTTGAGGAATAAAGGATAGGCTAGCTGGATTGGCTGAATACTAATTTTTTGTCTGTTTCACAAATGAATTTGTTAACAATAGCGGACAAATTAATTTGCAGGTAGTGATTCCACTAGTTAATTACCGAAAAATCAATTATGATAATCATCATTTAACAAAGTCCACATCGGATCAAAAAGCTTCAGGTATATAAACAGCTAACCCTTGTCCTGCCTGGACATGATGAAGTCATACCTTAACGAAAGATATCAAATTGTTGATCTAGGAAATACCAAAAGTGAAAAAAATATTAAGAGGATTGCCACAAGGGTCAATATTGGGGGCAACTTCTGTTTCTAATATATATCAACGACCTACCTCACGTGATGAACTCGTCAGGCATAAAAACTATATTGTATGCAGATGATGCAACCTTGGGCAAAAAAATATATAAAATAGATGATCCTCATATGATCCATATGATCCATTTCAGAGAAAGCTCAATCATGGTTCTCACCAAATGCCTTGATTCTCAATGAACAAAAAACAGAAACTCTTAGAAACAATTTGCTTAAATCGAGATAACAAAAATTCTACCAAATTTTTGGATGAACAAACAGATTTCAACCTGAAATGGATAGACCACATAAATAACATGTGTAGTAAACTTCGTAAGACGGTTTTTGCTATCAGAAGAATTGAAAAAATAGTAAATCAAAGTGCGGCCCTTGCAACATATCAATCTCTTTTTCATTCAGTCCTTAGGTATGGCATAATCAATTGGAATAATGCATCAAAGGTACATCTTAATGGACTATTTGTCATTAAAAAATCTGCAGTAAGAAGCATAATCTCTGCCAATTATGATGAAAAGTGTCGACCAATATTTGTAAAACTTAAAATAATGACCCTATATTCAGTTATTGTCTATGAAAATCTGCTTCTTGTTCAACAAGGCTTGTTGAATGAAGTTGCTCACAAGGATATTCACCAACATGATACAAGAAATAAATCAAACCTTGTTCCTACAGCTAATAGGTTGAAAAGAACAGATAATATAGAAATTAGGCTATACAATGCCTTATCTGCCGAATTTCATAACTTGCCATTTAGAAAATTCAAAAACTTATTGAAGAAAATATTAACCAAACATCCTTTATATGAAATTGATCAATTTTTCGAAGTTATCCAAGAAGAAAGAGACACTTTTGTGGTCACCTTCCGAACTTTTACTCAACTTTGAATATATATAATACGTTAGCTAAGTATGTTATAAAAGCGTCTTTTTTAGTCTTTATGAACCAGTGACGGCTCGTGCATTGGAGAACAGGGGAGGCTAAAGTCATAAAGACTATATACACACAGAAAAGCCCGCCGAAGGCGCGAACGTTTTTATGTTGTTGCCCGCTTTGCCTAATACTAAAGTTAGGGCAAGGGCATGAAAATGTGTAAAAAGTGCATGAGGATTTTATTTTATTTTGTAAACCATTTAAATGGCCGGGCATGACCGCCGCCCCATCATAGGTTTGCGCAATTAACTTTTGCCTAAAATTATAGGTTTCACGCGTACGAATTAAAAAATTAAACAAATCGTCAGCTGTGCGCCCAGATGAAACATCTTGAAAACCCATAAAACGTTCTACCACATTACCATCTTTGACATATCTAAAAACGATTAAAAGTTGTGATGTACAGGTAATATCGGTAGTTTCATCAATTTCCCATGCAAAAAAAGAAACACTTTCAATCTCCTTGCTTATATTTTCCTTAATAATATATGCCACACTTATCGGGCACTGAGGTGCCCGAAAAAACGTTACCGTTTAAAAAAAGTGCCAAATTGTGAATCATATTTGCCCCATAACATTAAAAGTTCCTTGTAATTGCCGCGATTAAACGAATCTTCGGTTTCATCGTGTCCGCGAAAAGCTAATTCTTGGGAACCCGAATAAATTGTAATATCGATAAGTCTTTTTGAATTCGACCGATTTTCCCTAACCTGATTATTAAAAGAAATTATGGCCTCTTTTTGAGCTGTATCTAAAGCTGTTGCTATATTTTGTTTGCTAAACAATTTTAATTTACAAGACGAAAATATATGCTCCTTAGATTTAAAATCGTTTTGTATTCGGTTCGTACGGAAAATAAAACACAGGGCCAACAAAAAAGTTTTTCTCGTTTAATGGAGCAGGTTAACCAATCGCATTTATCGTACCAACCAATATTAAATCCTCGATTTTGTCGATTACGTGACGCTTTAATTGAAATCAAATTTGGTTGAGGCCTTCCCAGAGTTTTAATAATGTAAAATTCATTATCATAAGATAAAGACTTAAAATTATTTGTCAGCAACCAATCGACTATATCGTCAGATTTTTTAATTTCGTCCAACTTATCCATAATAAATGAAAAAAAAACTTACCGAAAAGTGAAAACCTGAAAACACCTTGAAATTGAAAGAAAACACTTTAAAAACACATTAAAAATATTACCAAAAAGCACTGCTATAACAGTGCACAACACAAATAACAAATATTATCAAGAAACACTAATACCGAAATATTTTTCAGTCCCGGTCTGTCACGGCATCCCGTCCGAATAATTGAATAAAAAACAAACGCAGTCGTACACTAACGGAGACCAACTGGAGGCTAGCCTCCTTTAACGATATAATTTCCGCAACTGAAAATACAAAAACGTATGTCGCTGGTTGGTTCGGTCTCGCGGAGCTTGTGTTTTTAAAGCGGTCGGAGGCTTGGCTCCCTTGCAACGTATGGCATTCATTATTTTGAGTTGATGGTTTATTCGTTATTCGTTCATGGGCGGTGTGTTTGAGTTTTGCTGATACAGGATACAGTGTGGTACGTACTACGTAGTGAGTCAGAGTGTTTTTTCGGGCATATTATGTATTTATATTAAAAATTAATAGTAAAGTAATGATACCCAAGCATTTTTAGAAAAAAATAATCATAATTTTCAAATGAATAAATACATGTAAAGTGAATTCGAATCATATCAAGGAGGTTACGAAACTGTATTTATTTTATCTAAACTTTGGGATCAATCAACCGTATATTCTTTAGAAAAAAAATTACCATTGATATTTTCAGCTTGGTAGCTGAAAATCAGCTACCAAGCCCAATGAAGGCAGCAGGCGCGCGTATTAATAAAAAAAATACTTTTTTCAAATGAATAAATACATGTAAAGTGAATTCGAATTATATCAAAGAGGTTACGCACAGCGCCATCTGCCCGCGAATAGATCAAGCAAAAAAATGTCGATAATTCTGTAAAATACAGATCCCGAGCTTGAGAGTTTCAAACAAACATACATATATACATAAAGGTGAAGCTAATAAAACCGTGTTAAAAAAACTTATGAGAAAACTATTTTTACTAAGAAACCTTTTCACACAAGTTTCAAAAGCAACTTTTCGAATGGCATATTTTTCCTTGTATGAATCCATTATTTCTTATGGTATTGCCGCCTGGGGACATGCAACAGAGTGTGATAGAATATTCCGACACCAACGGAAAGCTATTAAAATATTAGACAATATCAACTACAGCGATGAATGTCGAAATTCATTCATTTCATTAAAAATACTAACCTTTCCTGCTCTCTATATCATTGAAAATTTAATATACATAAAAAA